TCAGAAACCTAGATATTTCAAAACTGAAGGAAGAAAATGAAGTACAGCATAATGAGTTCCTTTGATCCATTCAACTGGTAGGAAAAATTAAATAATCATTTAAAGTTTCTAGAAATGGTCCTAAGTGCATATAATGAATAAAGAAACATTATTTAAGAAAATCTTTGAAAATTTGGTAAGAAAAAATAAAGAGAAGTAAGAGTCTATCCCTCCCAGCGCAGCAAGATGGAAACTCCACTCCCAACTGGTATAGCCAAGCACATAGGTCTCCCTTTCCCCCAAACTCCAAGTCAGAGGACTTTCTTCCCAGAAGGAGCAAGATATGAGAAATTCCCATCTTGCCCCCAGTTGCCTGTTGTTGAGGTTAAGTCCCAGGTGAGTGTGGGCAAAATATAGGGCCTCCCTTTATCCATGTGCTCCTGCTGATGGGAAGAAAACTTTACATTGGTCAGTTGTACTGGGTTCATTATTGTGCTAGATCACTAGGTGGTAATTCCAAGTCAGGAGATCTGAAGATATCATCATCACTACTGCATACTAAGTGTTTGACTACTAAAATGGATGCTCACAGAAAAGAGAACCATTGTCCCTATATCCTGCTCCAGAGCCCCAGCTCAGAAATTTTGCCTAGGGGAAAAGCAAGCCATAAAACAGATAATGTTTAATGTATACAGTAATCATTTTAACAATATACTGAGTTTATAATATCAATAGGTATAATATATAATAACAATACCATAAAAAGAAGGAAAAGAGAACAGAGCCATCCCAAAATAAGGTTTCTATATATGGGATAAAAAAAACTTAAGACACAACATAACAAGACCAATGAGATGCAGCTAAGCAGTGATTAAAATAAAAAATATAGTTGTAAGTACCTATATTAAGAAAGAAGAAAGTTCTCAAATTAACAATCCATACTTCTACCTTAATACATTTGAAGAAGAATAAACTAAACTTAAGTCAAGAAGGAAGGAAACACTAATTATAAGAATGTAAATTAATAAAATAGAGGCTATTGAAATAACAGAGAAAAACCAATGAAACAAAATTGGTTCTTTAAAAAGATCAACAAAATTGACAAAGGTTTACCCAGATTATAATTGCTAGAATGAGAAAAGATAACATTACTACCAACCTTACAGAAATGATAACTGCAAAGGAATACAATGAACTATTGTTATATGACAACAAATTAAATAACTGAGATGAAATGGATAAATAACTAAAAAGATGCAAGCTATTGAAACTGATTTAAGAAGAAATAAACAATCTGAACACACATAGAACATGTCAAGAGTTGAATTAGTAATGAAAAACCGATCCCTCCCCCCAAAATTCCAGGTGCAGATAGCTTCACTGGTAAAATAAGTGCATTGGAGGTAACACCACCCAGCTCATTCTGTGAGGCCAGTATTAATCCTGACACCAAAATCAAAGCTGTCACAAGAAAACTACAGACTATATCCCTTATGAATATGAATGGGAAACTCATCAACAAAATTCTAGCAAACCAAATCAAGTAATAAATAAAAAATAATTATATACCATGGCCAGGTGGGGTTTATCTCAAAAATGCAAGGTTGATCTAATATCTGAAAATCAACTAGTGTAATACATCATACCAGTAGAATGCAAAGCAAAAATCACATGGTCATCTCAATAGACACAAAAGCATTGGACAAAATTCAACACTTTTCATGATTAAAAACTCAATAAGCAGGTGAAGTGGCTCAAGTGGTAGAGTACCTGTCTAGCAAGCATGAGGCACTGAATTCAAACCCCAGTACTACCAAAAGAGAGAGACAGAGAGACAGAGAAAGGAGAGAGAGAGAAACATTCAATAAAATAAAAATCAAAGGGAGTTTCCACAACATGAAGATAGGCATCTATGAAAAATCCACACAATGCAATAACAATAATCCAAACAGCTGAAAGAGAGGATTTTGAATATTCTCACCACAAAGAAATGGTAAATATTGGAAGTGATGGATATGCTAATTGTCCTAATTTGATTATTACAAAATGTACACATGTATCAAAATAGCACATTGTATCCCAAAAACATGTACAATTGTTACATGTCAGTTAAAAATAAAAATAAAACTTATAAAAAAGAATGTGCATCCTGCTATAATTGATGTAGTATTCCAGCAATGTCACTGTGAAATTCAGTTCATGGCCCCTGTAGCTGTGAGCCTCTGGTGAGGCAGGAGCTCATGGTGAAAGGGTATGGTGGAACAGAACTATTTACATCATGGCAGCCAGGAAGCAGAAATAGACAGATAGGAAAGGTCCAGGACAAGATATAGCCCCAGGACATACCCTCCAGTGACCTACTTCCTCCAGCTAGCCCCCAACTCCTAAAGTTTCCAGCACCTCCCAAAATAGCACCACCAACTTGGGACAAAACCTTCAACACATGAACTTATGGGAGCACAGTCCATGTTCAAACCATACTGTCATTTATGTCAAATTGCTAAATACTTTTTTCCAAATCACTTGTCTCTTATGTATTTGTTCACTATTTTATCAGTTACTGAGAGCATTAGGTTTAAATCTCTACTAATGATTGTAAATTTATTCATTTCTCCTTTTATTTCTACTAATTTTTATTTTATATATTTCAAATCTATGTTAATGGGAGCAAACAAATTTATAAGCATAATGTCTTACAACCAAATCAATCCCTTTATCATTATAAGTCTTTTTTTGTCTTTCATAAAAATTCTAGATTCAAAGTATATTTGGGCTGGCAAAAAAGGCAGACCGGGCAAGCATTTTGTTTTAGCCTATCTTTGTCCTTACATTTAAGCTCTATCAATTATTTTTTAAAACATAACAAAGCTCTGTTTTTAAATCTTTTCATTGAAATGTGAGTTTTATTTTTGTTCAGTTTAATATATTATTAATTCTTTTCTATTTGTGCCATATATCTTTGTATCTTTATTCTTCTTTCCCTTCATTCTTTTTGAATTAATTAATACTCTACTGTTCAATTTTATCTCATTTATTGCATTTTAATTGTCTGTTCTTAGATTATTGCTTTAGTGTTTCCCCTAAAAATTACAATACACATGCTTTATTTATTATAGTCTATAGTCATCATATTACCACTCCCTAAATAATGAAAAAAACATTCAATCCATTTAATTCCTTTATGTACTCTACACTAATATCTTAATATCTTTTGCTTCTACAGGCTATAAATTCCATGGGAAATAATATTGTGCCTCAAAATGTCTGTGTTTAAGAAATCTACATCCTTACTACAGCTCAATTCACTCATCTGGTTTCATTTTACAACAGCATATAGGACATCGTTTTATATTTTACGTAGGTGATAAATTTGCAGGTGATAAATTCTCTCAGAAATTTCCTAAAAATGGCACTCTTGTACTTTTTTGTGGTGCTGGGGATCGAATTCAAGGCCAAGTGCATGCTAGTCAAGTACTCTACCACTGAGCTACATCTCCCAGGCCTTTACATTAATTTTGAAGAACTTTTTGCTGAATACTAATTTGGGTAACTTTTTTTCTAATTGCCTTAAAGTTTCATTCTGTTGCTTTCCAGTTTCCATAATTTCTTTTCAATGTTCAGCTATAAGAGCTATTATTGATGCCTAAAACGTATGCCTCTTTCCTTGCATACTCAATTCTTGACATTTTCCTGTACTTTAAAAATAATTTGTAAATAAATTCTTGGTTCCAAAGTTTACTTTGTAATTAATATAACTTCTCCAGGTTTCTCTTGATTTGTGTTAGCATAGTACATCTTTATCACTTTTAATCTGTCTGTGTCTTTAGGGTTAAAATGGGATTTTTGTAGATAACATAAAGTTGTCTTTATGTACATCCAAGTTATCTAAGATATATCTTTTCCTCCTTTCTGATGAACTTTCACTTTCTTGAAAACAAGTCTTCTAGTGACCACTCTGATAATTTTGTTGGTCTGAGAAAGCCTTTATTTCACGTTTACACTGGAAGAATAATTTTGATGTAAACAGAATTTTAGGCATGTGTTTTTTTTATTTTAACACCTGAAATATATCACTGCAATATCTTCCTGCTTCCTTTGTTTCTTAAGAGAAGACTGATATAATTAAAATATTTCTCAAGATACTCTCTCTGTCTTTGGTTTTACTGCAGTTTGGAAATATCACATCTATGTGTAAGATTTCGTCACTCCCGTCCTCCGAGACTCCGGGACCTGTGATTTGGGGTGTTTCATTTATTGTGGAAAATTTGTATTCAACAGTATCTCAAATATTTCTTGTTACTTTCTCTCCTTCTTCTCCTCTTTTTATTCTCAATCCACACGTGTTAAATTTTTGTAATGGACTCACAGTTGTTGGATATTCTGCAGTAATATTTTTCATTCTTTTTTCTCTTTATTTTTCCATTTAGAAAGTTTACATTAATATTTTTCGAGCTCACTGTTTCCTCAGCCATGTTCAGTATCATGAAAAGCATATCAAAAGCATTATTCAGTTCTATAATACTGGTTTTGATTCAAGCATTTTATTTTGGTTTTCCAAGGGTTTGTATATTTCTGCTACATTACCAATTTCTTCTTAAATGTGGTCCAATCTTTTCATTAGAGCTCTTGACATATAAATTACAGTTATTTTCATCCCTACTATAAAAATTTCAATGTCATTCACATATCTGTGAATGGAGCCAATGCTCCATTTATCAGGTCAGATTGCAGTGGTTTCTTTTCATTTTAGCATGCTTTTAAATTTTATGAGGAAAGCAGACATGATGTATCAGGTAAAACAAAGTGAGGCCAATAGAGTTTAATGTGAGGTGTTAGTGTTCTCTGGCTATAGATAACCAGAATATCTATATTATGGATGGCAAGAGTTTTAGAACTCAGTGGTAAAAGTATCATCAGTATCTGCGGTTATATCTCTCCTTTGTGGGTTTCCCTATGGACTTTTTCTTAAATAAGGTCTAAGACTTACAGTTTTTTCAGATGTAGCCTCAACATATGATTCAGGAGCCCAGCTGCTGTCATATTAATGTTTCAGGTGAACGGAAGCATTCTATAATTCTGTAGTTAAGTCTCAGTCCTTCAATGAGTCAGGGCCCCTAGAAATGAACTTCAAAGGGACTTCTGACTTCTGCGCACCTCTGCATTGGGAAGTCCGCATCATCCCCAAAGGCCAAGCTGAAAAGGGCTACCCTGTAGCCCAGCGCTTGCCGGACATTGGAAAGGATCACACTTGGGGTTGTCACACCAGCTGTGGGCTCCCCATCTGTCAGGAACATGATAAGAGGGATCCGCCCCACACCAGGGCCATTCCCAGTCTCTTGGTGGCTGTGGTTCAGGACTGAAGCAGCTGCCAACAGAGCTGCATTGGTGTCGGTCCCTGATTGGGGAGAAGACAGTGAGACCACCTTCTCTGCTCTGTCTCCCAACCCTCCCCACTACCATTTGCACGTACACTGGATATTTCACCAACCTCCCAGGCTCAGTCACATCTCAGACAGTTTCTCAGACAGTTTCTGTTTTTATCCTTCTCAACCCCCCACCCCAGCCTCCCAGAGATTTGACAGTGGAGCCCACATGTCCTTGGCTTTTATCACTCCCTGTCTCAGACTGTCTTTCTTTGCTAGTTTCGTTGGGGGAGCCTCTCATTCCCTAGTCAGATTGACAGCTACCCAAGGATGGCACCACCACCTTCATTCGACAGGGCCGAGGTGATAGGATCTGGTGGGTGGGAGAAACTTCAATAATTGTCCGAGAGAGGAATGATCAAAAGCCAGAATCAGGGCAACAGCTTGCAAAAATGCACGGAAATAAATATCTAGCTTATTGATTTGTAAAGTCTTAGCAAATTCATGCATTGGCATTGAGGAAAAGGAAGGTCAGGCCCAAAGAGAAATCCACCCTAAGATATGTGGAGAATCAGCTGCGCTCTTCCCACCAGCAGCAAGGGTAGATGGGATGGGAAGCCAAGGATGAAGGGACATATTTGTATAAAAGGCAATAGTGACATTTCAGGCACCATGAAAAGTGAGGAGGAAGGGGATCTGAAAAAAAGGTTTGGGGAATTCCCATATCACCACAGCCTGCCCTTCGGGATAAGTAGGTCTAACACTTACAACCATCAGCTTCCAGGCGGTTCAGGTAGTCCTTGGCACTGTGGATGTTCTGGATAGTGGCCTGGACGGAGCCTCCAGCTTTCCAAACACTAACTGTGTCAGAAAAGGAGATGATGTTGAAGGAGTCGTCGGCTCGCAGGTCACCAAGGATCACATTCATGGCGTTCTTAGTCTGTGGGGTACAGATGAAGTGAAGGAGATGGGACAAGACTTGAGAACTGTGAGCTACATAGTGAGACTTTGTCTCAAAAAAAGGAAAGAAGGGAGAGAAAAGGAAAAGGGAAAGGAAAGTTCTTCTGGACAGCAGTGGTCTAAAAGTTTCAAGCTCTGGTTTGCAGAGCTCTGAATCCGTGTGTTCTCTGCTTCCTGACCCTAAGACCGAAGATTCAATGATTTCAGGACCCTGAAGTTTGGGAGCCTTATGATTCCAGATCTTTAGAGCGGCCTTTCAGTGATTTGGCATGCTTCAGTTCCTCGCTACTCTACTTTTTGCCCTCACCTTCTGTCTCTGCCAAGCTAGTCTTTTACCAGCCCGGGATAACCCAGGTGCTATTCCACCTCCATAACTTTGCTCCTGTTGTGCCATTTTGACAGTATGTCCCCCATTTCCCCTTTATTTATTCATATTTCATTGTCTCTTAGCTGCTCATTCTCTGGAAAGCTCTCCCTTCAATTCAGTTGCTTACTCTCACCCTTCTCACTCAGATATCCCTGTCCCAGACTATTCACTGACTCTGTTAGGTAGAATATTGTCACTCTCCTAGCCACATGCCAAGCCCTCTGAGAACAGGAGTTAGAATGCTGCTTCTTCCTGTCTCTCTTTTCCATGACAACACTTAGCATAGAAGGACGCACCTAGGAGGTGAAGGGAATAGGATCTGTAGACTCTAGTGTAGGTAGCATCAACAGAACCCTTGCTGTGTTCCAGACACCGTGCTAAATACTTCAGATGTATCAACTCATTTAATCCTTACAAAAACACAACATAGTCACTAATGCTACCCCCACTTAAGAGGCAGTGACACAGAGGCTCACAGAGGGGAAGTCACTTGCTCTGAGTCACACAGCCAGTAGTTGGTGGATCAGAAACTCAAATCCATATTTGAGAGGTGTCAAATCCAGTGATCACAATCACAACATTATACCTTCAACCCTTTAGGCAGGTATGAATTTCAGAGACCGTAGGAAAGGTGTTTGAGAGCCACCTTCCTCTACACCTTCAATTGGGGAGAGACGCCTTGATGCTTCAGAGGGGATCCGTGTCTTTCTTGACATAGAGAGGACTCAGGATGTGCCACACATCCCGGGAAAAAGAAGCTGAGCACCATACTCTCATTCCCATTGAGAGGGCTGAGGCTTTAGGGAATGGCCTTTCCTGAGAACAGCACAGAATTCTGCACGAGAGCCCATGAGGACACAGCAGCAAGAACCTCTCGACATCTGAGGACAGGTTATATTATTAGAAGCATCTTGTTTAATCTTTCCTCTCCAATTATTTTGAGATTCCTCACCTAGCTTTCTCTTACTGATTTCTAGTTTATTCCACTTGGTCTGAGAGCATACTTTGTATGATTTATACTGTTTTGAATTTGCTAAGGTGTTGTGATGGTTAATCTTGATTGGCCACTAGATGGGACTGAGAGACTCATAGGAGGTCAGTAAAGTACCCCTCTGGTTGTGTCTGAGAGGACATTTCTCTAGATGATTAGATCATGAAGGCTCTGACTTAAGAATGGCTTAAGCCATTGATGACAGACTCAAAATATGAATAGACTAGTGGAAGGTGGGGCCTGGTTGAAGGCAGTAGGTCACTGGGGGCATTCCTTTGAAGGGCATGTCTTGTCCCCTGCCCTTTCTTTGTCTCCTCCTTTCTTCCTGGCTGCCATGAGGTGAATGGCCTTCCTCTGCCATGCTCTTTCCCCATGATGTTTCTGCCTTGCCACAGGCCTAAACACAGTTGGAGCCAGCAGACAGATCATAACCTCTAAAACTGTAAGCCAGAATAAATCCTTCTTTCCTTAAGTTGTTTCCCTCAGGTATTTGTCGGAATGATGAAAAACTGACTGACCCAGGTATGTTTTATACCCAAAATGCAGTCTGTTGTTAAATGTTCTGTCTGAGCTTGAGAAGAATGTGGATTTTCCTGGTGATAGAGGAAGCATTCTAGAAATGTCATTAGATCCTGTTGCTCTAGCAAATATCTCTTAGTGATTTTCTGCCTGTTGGATCCGTCGATTGCTGATAGAGGAGTCCTGTAGTCTCCAGCTGTAATTGTGGGTTCATCCATTTTCCTTTCAGATCCATCAGTTTTTACCTCATGCATGAAGGACTGCTATGTAGTCTTGGGAAACCGAACCCTCTGTCAAAATAGTATGCACTGCTTCCCTAATAATTTCATTGCTCTGAAGACTATTCTGTCTGAAAGTAAAATAACTACCCAAGGTTTCTTTTGGTTTCTGTTTGCATGGTATCACTTTCTTTACTCCAATAATTTTGTTCTATCTTTGCCCTTATATTTAATGTGGGCTTCTCATGAAAGACAGTCTCTTTTTGAATTGGTAGATCCAAACCATTTGTTTAAAGTGAGTATTTGTCTATTTGTCATATTTATAACTGCTTTCTACTTGTTGTCCTTGTTTATTTTTATTATTTGCCTTCCACTCACTTTCTGCATCCTCTAGTTTTAATTGAGCATTTTATGATCTCATGTTCTCTCCTCCCTTAGCATGACACTTAGAGAAAAATGCTGGTGGTTAACTTAGAGTTTGCAATGCAAGTTCACAACTACTCCAGGTCCACATTCGAATAACACTACACGGCACCCTTCGTAGTGATAGTATCTTGTGACACAACTCCCAAATTTTCCCTCTCATCCCCGATAACAGTTATCAGGGATAACAGTACTTATCCGCAAGTTACGTTCACTGACTACATCATTGCTGTTATTATTTTGAGCAAATTATTATCTCTTACGTCAGTTAATAAGAAAAATAAAATTTTATTTTACCTCCATTTAGTCCTTCTCTAACACTTCTCCATCGTGTAGGCTCGTATGTGAAATACAACAGTTTTCACCTGCTGAAGAACTTCTTTTAACACTTCTTGCACAAAAGTCTGCTGGTGAAAATTGCCTCAATTTTTATCTTACAGTTCTTTCATCTGTAGCCTCCACATCTGATTCAGGAGCTAAGCTGCTGTGCTATTAATGTCTGGGGTGGCGGGAAGCATTCTACAGTTCTGTAGTGAGGGCTCAGTCCTTCAGTGAGCTAGGGCCCCTGGGATAAGAACTTCACAGGTGCTTCTGACAATAGGAAGACTGGAAAGGGCTTGAACTGGGTGGGTCCCCTTCCCTCACATGGAAGACTAAGGAGCCCCTCTGGGACACTTCCTTCCCACATATGGCTGGCTGGTAACACAGCTCAGTCTCAGGTCTCAAGGCTCTGTTGTAAAAAGCTTTAAAGTTCAAAGGCTCTGGTGTCCCGCCCGGGACACCCGAAATTTGTCACTCTGGAGCCCCAGAGAGTTTTGGTTTGAAATGCAGCTTCCAGAACTTCATGGATTAAGACACTATGGCCAAAGTCATGTCAGAGACATGGCTCCAATATCCTGACTCAAGGGCGGTGGATTGAAGTGCTGAAAGATTAAAATGTGTAGACCCTGAATTCTATGGTTTCTAACGTTATCATGCCAGCATGCTAAAACTCTATGATATACTTCTAGGTCTTTAAGTTTAAGAATTCACAAAACCATGGTCTGAGGAAGAATCACAGTCTTCATGACCTGAGGTTTCATTGGGTCATTGGTCACGGCAGCGTGACCTACTGTGCACAGGAATTTTGTGATTGAGGGTCTGGGCTGTTTCAGACAATGTTTCAATGTTTCTCAGATTCTGTGGCTCCAAGATTACAGGGGTCTGCTCTGTAAGGAACCAGGGCCCTAGGGATGACGGGGGAAAGGATCTCTGGTGTCCAGGCCCCAATGTGCCAGCACTCTCTGTTTCCTGGTCCTTCTGATGCCAGGACTGAGGTAGGTCCCCAGGGCCCTTGTTACCTGCTTCATCTTGGTACCAAACATGGAGCCGCTCACATCAATAACAAACACCACATTCTTCTCCACAGGCTGGAGGCCTCTGGGGGCAAAGTAATGAACAAAATAGCCACCATAAATCTGGACAAAAAAGAAGGGAAACCGTGAAGTGTGAGACCCGCTCTAAACCAGGCCCCTCTGAGTCTCCTGCACAACACCTTCTCTTTCCTTCCAAGGACCTCTGGCTGTTGCTAGTTAAATGGGCCTGTGTGCAGTTGTGTGCTCCATGTCTGCCTCTCCCACCACAACCGTGCCTCGCTGGCTGTTCAGACCTTCATCCCAGGCCTTGCCCAGAGCTGTGGAGTGAAAAGGACTGGCTTGTGGCCCAGGGCGCCAAGGATCAGGATCTCTGTATAATATGTGAGTTCCTGTCCGTGAGAGAGCTAGACTTGCACAGTCTTGAGGGTCCCCAGGGACATTTGCCTGGACTCCAGGAACTGTAAGTATTGTTTTAACCTCCCTCAATAGAGTGAGCCTGGGGCCCAGCTCCTTGCTGCCAAGGGCTGGGAGTTTGCAGGGCCTCCCTCTCCCCCTAAAGCCTCCTTTCTGCTGTTGCTGGGCAGAGCAAGGAGGGGAGGAGGCAGCAGAGGCCAATGGAGCAGTCTGTTCAGAGGGGATTGGTTGCACCAGGTACAGATGCCTGGGGCTGTCCTGGATGTGATTGGCTGCTGGCCCCCTGCCCCCACTCCACCTCTCCCTCTGCAGAGCCTGGGGGCTGGGCCAGCTGAGGGAAGGGGAGGGGGCTGGGAGGCCCCTCAGGACCTGTGTCAGTTCAGCCCAAGAGATGCTAGGCTAGCTGAGGCTCTGGGGTCCTCTGAAGCCTGAAGCCTGAAGCCCGAAGCCTCCAGCAATGGCTCTGTCCTGGAAAACCAGGTCATCTTCTTCTCTGCCCCAAGGCACCCTGTGCCCAGAAGGCTAGACACTGCTTTTTCCTTCCCCAGGGGAAACGGGAGATGGGAGAACATGGTGCTCTCTTGCCCCTACTCCCTGCCTTCAAATTAATTCACATGTGCGTGTGAGGCTTCTGTGTCCACATAATCCTGGCAGTCTGGCACAGTTCCCCAGAGCCCCTACCACCCAGTCTGCCATCGTCCAGTCCATGATCAGAATCCCCTGTGTGCCTGCTAGACCAGGTTAGGTGAACCACTGGGGAAATGCTGCCCACCTACCCTCATCCCTACTGGCAGGTCCCACTTCCTAACCCATACTGCGGGGACAGGTCCCTGCTCAGTTGCTTCGCACAGTCCTCTGTGCCATCACCTCCTCCCACGCTCTCAGCTAGGAAAAATGTGAAGAGCAGTATGCCATGCATGCTGGCGCTATCCACCCCAGCCATGGGCGTTCACCTCCCCATAGCCTCTTCCCTCTGCTGAGGACCACACAGCCCCGCCATGGACAGTGGGTGTCCCCAGCCCTGGGCATTTCTTCCCTCATCTCTCCCAACAGCTGCCAGAGCACGCAGCTGCCACAGCACTGGGTCTTCCTTCTCCACTGGCACAACGCTGTGTTCCCAATCGCCCTGCACTTCCAGTGGGCCACTTTGCGATCCGCAGCATCCCAGGCTAAGGAGATAGTCACCTGCCATGGTGTCCACCTCCAGTTTATACCTGCAGAAGTCTTTCAGTCTCTTTCTCTCTGTCCCCGTTGTGGCCCTGTGCATGTCAGTGCTACTAACATTGTCAGGTCATGGTGTGCCAGGAAGACGACTGTGAATGTGTCACTCAATGGTCTCGCTCCCAGGGATCTGCAGTGCTGAGTGGGTTGCTTGCAGTTGGTGGCACTTGGCACCTTGAGGCCTGAGTCATGGTCTGCTGAATGCTGGACTATCTCTGTGCTGCCAACATCTGGGTCCTTCACTTTGCCTCCTCCACTCTCCCTGCCTGCATGACCTCACGCACTCCCTTGCACTACACCTGACACCACGAGAGACCCCAGCTCTCTCTGCCCCTTCCAGGCTGCCCACTGGTCTTACTCCCCCACAGCAGAGCTATGCACTGTTGACCTGTTCACCTAGAGGGCTGACAAGCCAGCCATGCATCTCACCCAAATGAGACATTGATTGTCTTCCCCCCGCCACACAGCCCTGTATGTTTATCTCTTCTGGGGCACAACAGTCCCCAGATTCAGTCCTCAAGAAGCCTGAGTGTCACCTTAGTCCTCCTGTGCCCATGCTGTCAGTCACTCACTCTGGCTGCTTTATCTCTTGCCTAGCACTTGCTTGCTGTCCACCTCTTCAAGCAAGCAACCCAAGCTCTGACACAGGCTAATGTTTCTCAGCTTCACTGTCTTCTTGCAGGCCTTCCATCCCTGCTGCCCTGCACCAATGCTGAGCCTCCATCTACAGGACCGCAGGGTGTCATTCTGTCTCAGGGTTCCCTAGTCACCCACGGGACAAATCACAGCCACTGCAGGACTCCACAGCCTTCTGTCTCCCCCTTACCATTTTTTTTAAATCTCAGATCTGTGTTCCATGCCTTTAAGGGACTGCTTACTCTCTGCATGGGCCTGGCCAATCCAGGCCTCCTTCCCTCTGATCCTGTAGCTCCCTCCCCACCAACCAGAGTGCCTTTCCCTTCCCTCAGAGCCCCTCACATGGCCCATGTCTTTGCATTCTTTATTCCCAAGTCGGACTTGACCTCCTCTCGGGAGCCTTCCCTGACTACATTTCCCCCTCATTCTAGCTTCCACCACACCTTGTGCTGTCCTCAGAAGCGCACGTCTCACCTTCAGGCAGTATCCTCTCTGTCTGTGCCACCCAGAGACGAGAGGAGGACCTCTGTGTGATATCCTCCAGTGTCCCCAACAACAGCCAGCCCTGCCCTTGACACAGATCTGGGGCCCAATGAGTCCTTACTGAGTGAAGGAACAAATGAAGGTACTGCATTTGACAGCAGGACCTTGGTGTCCCACAGGAAGTGGGACAGGAGTGCAGGTTCCTGGTGGGATGGCAGGAGGAGTCAGAGCTCACCGTGAATGGGACTGTTAGATGTGTTTTTAATACCCAATCCCCTGTATTCTGTCTGTGTTTCTCCTCCAGGCAATTGTGGGAAAGGTAAAGAAGGAAGCCACAGACTATGCATCCCTGACCTGTCCTCCCCTCCCCTCCATGGCAGAGCACCAGGTGATGCCACTTGCTGTCAGAGTACCCTCACCTGCTAGTTGGAGAGAGAGGGTGAAATCCTCTCATCCCACCCACCCCCAATTCAGAGGAAGCACTGTCACACCTCTGTGCCTTAGCAGTGCTGTTCCCTCTCCCTGCGTGCCCTTCCCTTCACCCTATGCACAGACTCAGAGGCATGTCCTACTCCTTTGCCCCTTACTGCATGAAATGCCAACTGCTTTAGGAAGCCCTTCTGCACTACACCCACATACCCTGTCACAGATTCATACATACTGCCTGGGAGTTGTTAAGAACCTGGAGACACCGAGAGGGGATGGAGCGTGGGAACTGAGTCCAATTCCCTCCTGAGTTCCTGGAGTCAAGGAGCACAGGAAGGAGCCAGAGTCTCTCTTCTGGGTGGAGAGGGGTCAGCACATGAGTGACTGAACCGTGCCAGAGGACAGGAGTACCCAGAGAGGTATTTTCAGGCAGGGCAGGGAGAGGAATTGTGGGTGGGGTCTGGCCACGAAAGAGGACATGTTTGAGCAGGGATTAAGGTAGAGACATGCTGACCAGTGCAGAAGGAGGAAGAAGACTTGTGGGAGAAAGCTGCTTGTCTGAGCAAATACCCCCCCTGGGAGAGGGGTGGACTCAGGTGCTTGTGGAGAAAGGTGTGTGGTGTGTGGGAGGCTATGGGGGGTGGCTTGTGTGCTGGGGATAAGGAGAGGGGCAGGAAGACAGGTGGGAGCAGACTTTCCAGGCTGCCACCATCCTCGTCCTCAAGCCAAGGGTTGATCTGGGCTGCACTGCATCTAGGACCATGGAAACTCAGCACTGTCTTCTGAGTGTGCGAGTTCCCTGTCTAGGCAGGGGCTCAGCTGAAACAGAGGGCGATTGGAAAAGGAGACACAGAAAGAAAGCCCAAGGCTACAGGAGAGTATCAGAGCTACAGACAGCATGTGAGGCTGACTGCACACCTGTGCTCCCTTTTGCAAAAGGATGCTTCAGAGTGGGCTGTGACCTAGCACCACTCGCTGGGTTCATTATACCTGGATTCAGTTCCTACATCCCATGTCTCCGAATGTTGGGGATGTACATGTGAGTGTGAAGCCACCTGTCTTTGCGGGGCCATCTGTCCTTGTTCAGTCACTCTCACTAATCACAAGGAAGACTTGATAGACAACTTGTCCAGACCAGAGCCTTGCCCAGGCCTGGGTGACTGTGGAGCCCATGCTCTTTCCACTTCCCTGGGCCCCCACACCTGCACATCTCCGATGATGTCCTCCATGACCACATCGTACTGGACCCTGAAGTCGGCCATGATGCCTGAGCTGGAGGAGGAGGACTGGTCTTGCAGTGTTGGGGAGAAGGTGATTCGGGCACAGGTCTCTCCCCTCTCGATCCTGGTGGATGGGGGCGGGTCAGCCTCACCTGTATGGGTGGGGAGGATTGAGGTTGTGTGGCATGGAAGGCTCAGTCAAGGATGGGGACAACCAAAGGGACCATGTCAGGCTCCACTTCAAACCCTGCAGCCAGCACCTGCTCCTCACCCTCTGTCACACCCAGCTTTGCCCTTGGCTCCCAGCCTTGGGAGTCTGTCCCTCACTCACAACCTCATCATGCCCCACGTCCCACCCAACCCTCTCTGGAGGGCTGTCATGTCCTCAGGTCCACCGGGAGCCTTTGTCTCCTCTCACAGAGGCAATGTACTGTGTGTTAGGACAGGGACAGACACACAGATGGGGCTTGGGTCTCTCCCATCTCCCTTGCCACTGTGGGAAGTGGCAGTCCTGCAAGACTCTCCTCTGTGATAGAATTTCATGTCTTTTCTCTCCCCTGCCTCTGACTCCAGCATCACGTGTGTGAATAAGCCTTTTAGCATCTCATGAAATCACTGATGGCTTTCTGGTCCCGGATGTTTGCTGAGCTGGCCACAAGATCAACTCCTCTGGAATTTCAGTCCATGACAAGTGTCCTTTTAGAAATGTCTCTGTGCCTCCTTTTTACCAGAGAATGGGGAATGGGAATTCTGCTCCTCTACCCCTCCTTCCTGCTCCAGCTGTCAGGAAGCTTAGGGGCAAACTGAGCCCCCATACTCTGAGGGGCCTGTTCACATGCATTCCCTGGGCTTCCTTCCTTTCAGAGCTCTTTGTTTTGTTTTATCCCCACAGGATTGCTTCTATCCTCTGTTTTAACCTTTAAGGAGCAGGGGGAGGGAGCTGCCATTTTTAGCTTAGGGCCTAAGAGTGCAGGCTACAAGCCTCAGATGGCCTTTGAGCCCAGGTCCTTGCTGCTGCCCTGTGTCCCTGGAGGAGTTAGTCCCTGTCTCTCTAAGCCTCAGCGTCCTCATCCATAGCACGGTGGTGAGAACAGCTCCTAGCTCACAGGCAGTGTGTGTAGGGATTAAATAAGAGCACATGTGATGCGTTCGGAACCATGCCTGCTTCTTCCTTGCTGCTAAATAGCGCTGACTCTTACAATCATCACGCACTGTTCGCACTCTGCAGCAGTTTGAAGGGAGGTGTGTTATAAAATTCTCACCATGGTGTCGGGCCACAGATGGCCTCTCTTGTGTTTTACAGATGGGAAAAGAGAAGCAGGGTGGGTATACTTTCTCTAATGGTTCCACCCTAGGGAAGCGACAAGCTGGGATGTGAACCTGTCTGTGTGTCTGTCCCTGTACCGCGGGCATCATGCAGCCTCTGTGATCAGCAGGGTCACATCAGCCAGGTCTTCCAATGCCAAGGAGCCCTGTGAGGGTGGCCACGCGAGCTGGACTTTCCCTGTGCCTGTACTTCAACTCTCAGAGGAGGTGTGCAGGGTGGCTCCCTGGGTCTCCTGCCTGGCTGTGAAGCCAGAAGAAGGCCGGGCAGCCTGGATGCTGCTTAGCTCTACAGACAGCCTGCACCTCCTCCTGCCCATCCTCTTTGTACTCTGAGCAGGGATTCCAGGGGAAGTCGGATTTGGCCAGCTTGGCTTCTGCAACCCTCAGGGGATAAACAGGGAAAGTTTCACAAATCGACTCACTCAGTCATTCCCTCATTCACAGGTTTCTACTCCATTCATGCATTTACTCAGGGTTCACTCACCCATTCTTTCCTCTACTCACACATTCACTCATTCCTCTTCTCCCTGATTTTCA